CAAGAGCTGTGGCGTGGTCCTGGTCTCCGCTGGCGAGTAGGCGTAGCTGCGTGTCTGTTCTGAGTGGGGCGGGGGGCGGCGGGGGCTGGGAGTCCCCTCCCCGCGCCCCGGGTGTCTGTTCTGAGTGGGGCGGGGAGCGGCGGGCTCTGGCAGTCCCATCCCGTGCCCTCGGGGGCTTGTCCTGGAGAGTCTCCTCACTCTCCCCGGGCTGTGTGACCTCCCCTCCTGCTAACTCGCCCCTGTGTCTCTGCCCTGCAGAGACGGGGGAGAAGGGCGCACAGCTGTCTGGTGGCCAGAAGCAGCGGGTGGCCATGGCCCGGGCTTTGGTGCGGAACCCACCTGTCCTCATCCTGGACGAAGCCACCAGCGCGCTGGACGCAGAGAGCGAGTACCTGGTGAGTTGCGGGCTGGCCTGGGGGGAGCCGCCCCAGGAGGCCAGAGTCTCCAGCCCCAGCAGACAGGTGTGCTGCGAAGGGCTGAGAGGCCAGCAGAGTCCTGGACTGGTGTGGAGGCTGAGAGCCAGGGAAGGGGAGGCAGGGCCATCTGGGCTCAACCTCCGGGCTCTGGTGATAGGGGAAGAGGGCAAGTCAGAGTCGTGCGACCTGGAGCAGGCCTCTGCTCTCCCTGAGCCTCGTTTCTCTGGAAGAGAAGGTCCAGGGGTGCGCTCAGGGCTGGGTGCTCCTCATCGGGTCCATGGATTCATCCGCCCACGATGCGGGCACTTTCCCAGCTCCTCCGGGCACCGGCACGGTCTGGGCACTGGGGGTGCAGTCGTGGGCTGACCAGACAAGACCCCACCCCCGTGGTGGTTCCCTCCCGGCGGGGAAGACATAATTAACAGGGACAGAAGCATGAATTTGACCCATGGCCTGTGCTGCAAAGAGAGAGAGAAATGGTCCCAGGTGGGGAGAGTCGGAGGGTCAGTGTGGTCAAGGTTAGACCCAGATTCCAGCCAGTAGCTGCTGCCGGGGAGAGCGGAGCTCCTCTGACGTGTGCGTGTGCGCGTGTGCGCATGTGCGTGTGTGTGCAGGCCTTATTTATTTATTTATTTATTAATGTATTATTAATTTCTTTCTTCTATGATGAGCGAGAGAGAAAGCACCTACACCCTAGCCCCAGCCAGCCCTGGAATGTGGGTCCACTTGTGCCTAGCACAGGCAGGGAGGGCTCCACATGCGAACCCAGAACCTTCCCACGTGGGTCAGCCTCGCGGGCTTGCTTCTTACTGCCGCAGTCGGTGAGGCAGGCCTTTTGGGGGGCTGGGGCCATCCTAGAGACAGGATTATATGTCGCCAGAAGGGGGGCCCGCACTGGGCTTCCACCGACCCCCAGGGCAGATGTCTGTGTGGAGGCGTGGCTGCCGGGCTCGTGGCTCTCGGCGTGGAACCGGGGACATCAGGCACCATTTCAGCTGAGACCGAAAGTAGGGCAGGCAGCTGTGGGGAGTTCTGGGGCCACGAGAATCCCGGGAAGATGGGCAGGGGTGCAGTGGCTTGGAGAGGGCAATGAGTTTGGCAAGTTCGAGTCAAGCCAAAGGCCAGTGTGGCAGGTGGGCGGGGTGAGCAGAGAAAGGCGAGGACAAAGGCAGGGAGAGGCAGGCACCTGGGGCCCGGCCCGACTAAGGAGTCCGGATTCTTGTGAAACTTGTTTTCTGTTTTCAGTTTGTTGCTCACTGGAGAGAGACACACACAGACAGAGGGGACGGCCATGCTGCAGTCCCTTCTCCTCCATTCCCCTTAGGATTTGGGGCACACACGCACATGCGCTTGGTGTGATTTTTAAGCCGCTGGGTCTGGGACTTGAACTGTGGGGCCAGCCATGTGATGCAGCGCCTTAACCCCTACATCACTGGCTGGCCCTAGTCTTGATTTTTAGAGCAGTTTTAGATTTAAAGAAAACTGAGCAGAAGGTAGAGTTCCGGTAGCCCCCTCCACTCCCCTCCCCCTCGTCTCCACTATTATTAACATGTGATGCATTTGTTACAACTGATGAGCCTACAGGAATGCAGTATTTTTTAAAGAACTATTTATTTTATTTATTATTATTTCTTGATTTGCTATAGGGCACGTGCACTCACCAGAGAGAGAGAGTGAGAAAGCAAGCCGCTAAGTCCGGGCCTTGAACCGTGGTCAGCCCTGTGGGAGTCCAGTGCCTTAACCACCATGCCACCTGCTGGCCCCTACATGAATACGCTCTTGTTAACTAAAATCTATAGTGTGCACAGGGGTCCGTTTTGGTGTGATACAGGTCTATGTCTGACAAAGTCCTCAGTTGGGATTTTATCCTAAGACGCTATTCGCGGGTTTGGAGAAGTGTCATTAGAACTGCTTACACTATTTTAAATTCATGTGGGGAACGGATAAGGGGCCCCTCCGGGCAGGAGGGTTAGTGGCGTTCAGATGAGCAGAACAGAGGCGAAGGGAGGAACCGGGTGAGAGAGCGGGGCAGCCCGGGCTGCAAGATTTGCTAAGAACCAGCCTTGGGTGCTCTCGGAAAGGCGAGGGACCGAGGGTGACGCCCCGTTTTGTCAGCTTCGAGGCTTACACAGTTAACGCACCATGCTGGCGGTCAGAAAAGGAACCGGACGGCTAGAGAACCTGGGGTAGGGGCTGCTCTCCCGTCCCCCCTAGGTTTCCTTCAGACAGAAGCCCAAGAGCCAAGTCCTGGTCTAGCCTCATGAGGAACCGAAATCTCAGAGAGGTTAAGCGTCCCCCTAGGTTTCCTTCAGACAGAAGCCCAAGAGCCAAGTCCTGGTCTAGCCTCATGAGGAACCGAGATCTCAGAGAGGTTAAGCGTCAGCTACAGACTGAGCACCCCTAATCCGAAATCTGCAATGCTCCCAAATCTGAAATGTTTCAAGCATCAACGTCCCAAGTAGAAAACTCTACACCTGACCGCATGTGGTGGGTTGCAGTCAAAATACTGCAGTACAAAACTAGTATATAAAATGACCTTCTGTCTCTGCCTCTAAGGTGTGTGTGAGACAGAAATGAGTTCCTGTGTAGACAAGGTATCTCATTATGTAGATACAGATAGTTCAAAAATTTAAAAAAAAAATCTGGGACCAGCAGATGGCATAATGGCTATGTCACTGGACTCCCATGTAGTTGACTTGGGTTAGAGTCCTGCACCCACTGGCTTAAACTCACACCGGGTGCATGTGCGTGCGTGCCCAAGATCCCGAGAGGAGAATGGAGGAGAAGGGATTGTGGTATGGCCATGCCCCCTGGGGATGTCTCTGTCTATCTCTGTCTTTCTGCTGAGCGCATGCGCCCTATAGCAAAAACCTCTCCAAAAATAGACAAAGAAATCTGAAATCCGAAACTATGGCCCCAAGCATTCCATATCGGGGCTGCTGAGCTGTAGAGGCGGCACTGGGGCTGAGGGCGGGGCTGCCCTGCGAGCCTGGCCCCTCTGGCCCTGTGTCCCCGCAGATCCAGCAGGCCATCCACGGCAACCTGCAGAAGCACACGGTGCTGATCATCGCACACCGGCTGAGCACCGTGGAGCGGGCGCACCTCATAGTGGTGCTGGACAAAGGCCGTGTGGTGCAGCAGGGCACACACCAGCAGCTGCTGGCCCAGGGCGGCCTCTACGCCAAGCTGGTGCAGCGGCAGATGCTGGGGCTCGAGCCCTCCTCAGACTACACAGCCAGCCGCAAGGAGCCGCCCGGCAACGGCAGCCTCAAGGCCTGACCCGCAGCCTCGCGTCTCCTGGGGCAGAGGCCCCAGCACCCGCCCGGAAGATGTGCCCGCGGGGCCCCCCGGCAGCCCCCAGCTGCCCTGGGAGCCCAGGCCCGTGGCGCTGGCTGGCGACCTGCCATGGCCCACGAATCACCGCTTTCTGCATCTCGCCCCGGTTCCCGCCCTGTCCCTGGGCACCGCCAGCCCCGCCCTGCCACACGCCCCCGTCTGCTGGCCTCCCACCTGGTCTCCCCGGGCTCCTTGCCAGGACACCTTTTTAAACCAGGATCTCCCCGGGTTTTTTACTGCCCGGTTCGACACACCCCAGTCGACTCCTAGATTTCAAAAACATTTTTCTAATTGGGAGTAACGGAGGGCAAGTTCACCCAGATGTTCTAGAGACTTCTGAGCCAGGAGTGAACTGCCCTTCCCAGTAGCCTGGGGATGTCAGAACAGAACTGGTCTCTACCCTTTACTCGCAGAGAAGGGGCTTACCCAGATGTTCTAGAAACTTCTGAGCCAGGAGTGACAGGCCTTTCTGTCTCTCCCTCTTCCCAGCTCTGTGAGTCCGGCCAAGGGTGGGCGGGGGCCTGAGGTTCTGTCTGCCCGGGGCCCCCTCTGCCCTCCCAATCTAAGCCAGTCTCACTGTGACCCCTGAGGAACCTTGGCTGGGGAAGCGAGGGGCTGACCAGGCCTGACAGGGCCTCAGGGGTGGCCCGGGCTGAGCACCCCATACTTTTAGCCCCTGTGGCCCTGCCTCACCCCTCCCCGAGGCTGGCAGCCGCCCTCCCTGCCCCTGCCACCCTGCCGCTGGAGCCCCAGATGTTTGTAGGATGCCTCCTCTTCTGTTTGGTGGACGGGACTGGCTTTGCCCCGGGTTTGCGAGATGTTGGGAGAACCCGGTCAATAAAGTGTACTACCTCTGAGCCCTGACCTCTGACCTCTACTTGGGCCGTCCACCCCATCACCTGGTGAGGTTTTCCCAGCAGACCCAGCTCTCCTCCTGGCTGGCCTGGCCTGGACTCCATGTAGTCTCGGCCTCCCCGCACTGTCAGGACCACCCCTCTGTGCGCCTCGCGACCCCCGAATCTCCAGCACAGGCGTCTATGTCTGTCTGTCTGTCTCTGTGGGCCTGGTGCAGGGTGACAGGATGGCCTTCTCTAAATCTCAGAGACACCTGTGCCTCCTGGGGTAGCCAAGGCCCCCAAAATGGCCTCTGTTCTTTTCTGTCAGGTCTGGCACCCACGCTGCCCAGCCCGGGTGCAGCGAACTGTCACCAGTGGGACAGCTCTGTCAGGGCGGAGGACTGGCCTGGACACAGAGGGCCCCAGGGGGATTTAGCTGCTGGGCCGTAGAGAAGCCTGAGGCTGCAGAACAGGTGAGGGTAGCTTGATCCTCGAGCTCAAAGGTAGAAAGATCTTGGTATTTTAACTGCTGGTACCTGCATCTCACACCCCCACTACAGGAAAGGCCAAGGAAACCAAGGGAACCGGCCCACCGGCCCACTGGGTCCTCCACCCGCCCCCCGAGGCTGGGCCCGCCTGGAGTCTCTTATCTACTCAGGACTCAATGGAGCCTTAAACCCGGGCAGGGCAAGAATGTGCTGGCCCCAGTGCGGTCTGAGAGACACTCCCGCCTTGCAGACACCACTTAGCCTCAGGGCAACCCTCTGGGGCCACTTTTCTCCCCATTTTGAAGCCGAATCTAAAACACAAAGAAGTTGATTGATTTACCCTTTGCCACACAGCCAAGGCCTGCTGGGCTGAACCCAGAGAAGTAGGGAGCTAAGAAGTTGTTGGAATTACGTGGCCTGGACTCTTGCTGTTCTTGTACTATTTCAGAGTAAATAACAATTTTCAGTGTTAATGCCATGCAGCCCCAGTGAAATAGGCGGTGAGCTCGGGTCAGCGCAGAGGAGGACTGAGATGGCCGGAAATGGCCTCCCACTCAGCCTCCCCTCTCTGAGCCTCGGGGCCTCCTCTGTGGAAGGGACTGCCTTGAAGGCTGAGGGAGCGATGGCACCCGGAGAGCCGGGGTCTTGGGGAGGAGGTATCTGTTCCTATAGCTCCTGTAACAACCCATACACCGGGTGTCCGGCCACAGGAGTGAGGCCTCCCAGTCCTGCAGAGCGGAGGTCTGAGACCAACGTGGCAGCAGGGCCGCACGTCCTTGGATGTTCTGGGGAGGAAACTCCCTGGCCTCTTCCAGCTTCTGGTAGCCCCTGGCTTTCTAGGATGTGGTCCCCCCATCTCTGCCTGTCATCATGTGACTCCCACGTGTCTGTGCCTCTTAAGTCTCCTTCTGCCTGTCCCTGATGGGGACACTGGTCATCGGCTTACGGCCCACCTGGGCAACCCAGATCTCACCCTAAGACCCTTAGCTTGATAAGGACCCTTTTCAGATAAGGTCATTTCACAAATTCTAAAGGTTTGACCTGGATGTCTTTTGGGGGGGCTGGGGGGCACCACTCAGTCCACCGAGGAGGGGAACTTACAGCCCTGGCTCAGGTTAACCTCGGGACTTCATGCGTGGTTTTAGGGAGCGGGTCCTCAGGAGTTTGCAGAGCAGGTGGAAGCCCCAGCTTAGTGTGGGATCAGCTGCAGAGAAAAACACAGGGCGGGCCAGCAGATGGAGTGGTGCAACGTGCTGGACTCCCACATGGCCGACTGCAGTTGAGTCCCAGACTTGGTGGCTTGAAACTCACAATGGGCACTTGTACTGCATGCCCAAGGTCCCGGGAGGAGAAGGGATTGCGGTGTGGTCATGCCCCCGGGGTGACTTCTCCCTCTCACTGCGTCCACCCGTCTCTCTGGTAAGCATAAGCACACGTACCCTAAGACAAAAACCTCTAGAAAAAAAAAAAGGACCCTAAGACAAAAACCTCTAGAAAAAAAAAAGGAAAAACAGAAAATACGTCATGACTTTCCTGACCACCTACCGGATTGGGTCACAGTATTTTGACAAAACCAAGGGTCAACAAAACACGCCCCTGGGTGTCTCCAGCCTCGGGTCACGTATCTGCGACCTCAGTGTTGGACCTCAGTGTTGGACGTTCCTCTTCCTGAAAGCCCTCAGTGCTTTTCCATGGAGTTTTCATGGCTGTGGGACTGAAACTCCCTGGCCTCTTCCAGCTTCTGGTAGCCCCTGGCTTTCTAGGATGTGGTCCCCCCATCTCTGCCTGTCATCATGTGACTCCCACGTGTCTGTGCCTCTTAAGTCTCCTTCTGCCTGTCCCTGATGGGGACACTGGTCATCGGCTTACGGCCCACCTGGGCAACCCAGATCTCACCCTAAGACCCTTAGCTTGATAAGGACCCTTTTCAGATAAGGTCATTTCACAAATTCTAAAGGTTTGACCTGGATGTCTTTTGGGGGGGCTGGGGGGCACCACTCAGTCCACCGAGGAGGGGAACTTACAGCCCTGGCTCAGGTTAACCTCGGGACTTCATGCGTGGTTTTAGGGAGCGGGTCCTCAGGAGTTTGCAGAGCAGGTGGAAGCCCCAGCTTAGTGTGGGATCAGCTGCAGAGAAAAACACAGGGCGGGCCAGCAGATGGAGTGGTGCAACGTGCTGGACTCCCACATGGCCGACTGCAGTTGAGTCCCAGACTTGGTGGCTTGAAACTCACAATGGGCACTTGTACTGCATGCCCAAGGTCCCGGGAGGAGAAGGGATTGCGGTGTGGTCATGCCCCCGGGGTGACTTCTCCCTCTCACTGCGTCCACCCGTCTCTCTGGTAAGCATAAGCACACGTACCCTAAGACAAAAACCTCTAGAAAAAAAAAAAGGAAAAACAGAAAATACATCATGACTTTCCTGACCACCTACCGGATTGGGTCACAGTATTTTGACAAAACCAAGGGTCAACAAAACACGCCCCTGGGTGTCTCCAGCCTCGGGTCACGTATCTGCGACCTCAGTGTTGGACCTCAGTGTTGGACGTTCCTCTTCCTGAAAGCCCTCAGTGCTTTTCCATGGAGTTTTCACGGCTGTGGGACTCCCGGCCTCCCGCCCGTGTAGGCCCCTCCTTTCCCCAGTCTGCCCACCTCTCCTCCCTCCGCCTGCAGCCTGGGAACGCCAGGCTTCTTCCTCTCCAGAGCCCAGGAGTCGCTCCGGCTCCCAAGTCTGCAAACTCAATGCAGTGGGGACCGGGGCAGGCCAAAGAACCTCCCAGAGACCAAGCGAACAGTTCTTTAAAAGGCAGTTGTGATTTTTAAAATGGATGTTTTATTTGGAATCGTTTAGGTTTACAGAGAAGGCGCAATGACCACACAGCGCTGGTATAGGCCTCAGTGTCACCTGCCAGCGTCGCAGGCCACTGACCGGCCACCGCTGGACGACCCGGCCCTCCCAGCCAGCGAGGCGCCTACTTCGCTTCATCTCACCCGTTTTCCCGCTGTGCCTTTTCCACCCCAGGATCCAATCCAGGTTACAGCTGTACCCAGAAAGACATATATACATATATATGCGCATGTATACATTTTTAAAAGAGGTTTTTGCCTTAGAGCGGATGTGCTGAAGAGACACAGCGAGAGGGAAAGTGAGAAATCGCCCCCAGTGGGAAGGCCACGCTTCATTCCTTCCCCACCAGTCTCCTCCTGGATCTCGGGAACACATGCACACGCGCCCAGGGTGATGTTCGAGACACCGGATAGGACTCAACCCAGGGGTGGCCATGTGGGAGTCCAGCGACCTAACCACTCCGCCGCCTGCTGGTCCCAAGGTACGATCCATTTTTACTTGTTTTATTGTGGTACGGGACACAGAATGGGGAGGTCATTGTCGGTGATGTGCAGCATACGGGACACAGAACGGGAGGTCATCGTCGGTGACGTGCAGCACACTGCCAGCGCTGTGCAGCCATCACCCCCACTTACTTCCAGGACACGATCTTCACCCCAAAGAGACGGGGCCACGAACACCCCTGCCTCCCGCAGCGCCTGCCCGCCCCCGATCTGCCCCAGCCTCTGGAGTTGCCAGCTTGGGACACTGCCTGCGGTGGAGGGGGTCCGGGGTGCGCCTATACCTGGCTTATTGCTCAGTGTCGTGGTTTCGGGGTTCGCCCCCACAGAAACCCAGGATGAGGCTCGGCTCAGTGGAAGAGACCGTGCAGAGGTGGCCCCAGCGAGGTTGGTGTCGGATGTTTCCAGGCAGGGAGTGAGTTCTGCTCTCACGAGGTTGTTGCAGTCACTGTGAGAGCGGGTCGTCGCACCGCGCGGTGGCCTCGATGGCGCGCCCCCTTCGTCATCGTCCTCTTACGGTGCCGTGTGCAAACGCCGGCCCAACCTTGACCTCTCCAGGCTGCCGACCCGTGAGCAGAACAAGCCTCTTTTCTTCACGGAAGGCTCTGGCTCGGTTACCTCGTCCCAGCAACACCGGGCAGGCAGGACCCGACCACGGCCGCCTGTCACCGTCATCGCCCGTGGCTGCGTGCTGCCCTTCTTTCAGCTTTAGTCCGCCATCGGCGCATGCGTTCTCCAGGTAGAGACAGTGGGGGATGGCCACGCGGCAGCCCTTCCTCCTCACTCGGGATTCCGGGCACGCACGCGCACGTGCCTAGCGTGTTTTTCCAGCCACGGGTTCGAGACTCGAGCTGTGCAGTCGGCCCCGTGGGATCCGGCGCCTCGACGACCCCCAGGCCAGGTGGCCTGTGCTCCGCATTTCTCAGGCCTGGCAGCACGGAGGGTGGGCCACGCCAGCCTCACCGCACACGCCCGGATCTCGCCCGTAAGGCCTGTGTCCCCACGTGAGGACGCCCAGAGCCGTTCAGCAGCTGTTCGCGGGGACCACCGGCGTGTCTGTGGGCTGCCGTTCGGAGACGTGTCGCCTGGGGTGACGGTATTGCCTCGTGTGTTTTTAATATTTAAATTTCCCCGGGGGTGGGGGTCGGAGCACCCAAACCCAAGCAAACGACCGGCATGGGCAGT